CTGCTTCCAAGCCTCACCTCCAAAGCCTGCAGCTCCTGCCTCCCACCCCAGCCAGTTCTAATTAGGCCGCACCCCACCCCCACCCCAGGGTTAGCTCTGCCCCATTTAACACTCTGTTGTGAGCCTGTCTCATCATAAAGATCTCAGGAAACATCCATGACTGTACCATAGGCCCAGCAAGCCCCTGGCGTAAGGACCCTGCCCACGTCACAGGACGCTCGAGCTTGTGTTTCAGCCAAATTGGGAAAAGATGAGACTGCGTGGGCTGGGACAGCCCTGTAGCCTCGGAGCCACGGCCTTTCCAGAATGGACACATGAAAGGAAAGCACACCCATCCCTCGATTCACCTCTCACCAACGAGCGAGGCTCAGGCAGAGGGAGCAGAAGCACACCTGTACAGGTCCCTGAACTCCATGGCCTGGGGCAGCTGACACACAGATCTCAGGTCTGAGGCAAATCAAGGATGGAGACAGAATTCGCTACATCCTCACCAAAGAGCAGGAAAAGCTCAGCAGGACTCAGACTTGTGGGGGTGTGGGCAGGCCTGGGCATTGCCAAGCCAACACACTAAGCCAGCCCTGGTGTGGGGTCTCACGGGGCAGGGTCTCAAGGGGGCTTGGTCTCGGGTGGGGCGGGGTCTAGAGGGGGTGGGAATCTCGGGGGTGGGGTCTCTAGGGGGCTTGGTCTCGTGGGGTGGGGCCTCGAGGGGCGGTGTTTGAGGGGCGTGGTCTCGGTGGCCGTGGTCTCAAGGGGCAGGGTCTAAAAGGGCATTCTTCTGTCCAGGAAAAGCTGCTGGCCTGGTCAGCGACCACCTGGGACGTCACACCTCTGAGGACTGCGGAGAGGCTAAGGGTAATGCTAAACATCCCACAAAGCACAACAGCCCCTAAAGCAAAGAATCATGCGACCTGAAATGTCAGTAGTTGCCAGGTGGAGGAATGTTTCTCTCCAGGGCAGTCATAGTTCCAAGGAGGCCCCCACAGGAACCGCAGAGCTGAGAGCCCTTGGGTGACAGAGGTTGAGGCCAAGTCACACCAACATCCACAGGGCGAGAGAGCGAGAGGGTGCAGACAGCCGGGAGGGGCCCAGAGGCTCACTGCTGGCTGGCAAGGCGGCTCTATTTGGATGCACAGCATCTGGGGCACCCTCGTTGCAAAACCCTAACTCCTAGTCAGGTCACGGTTGACTTCTGTCACAGTGTTGCCTAGGTGTCTCGAGGGCAGCTGCCTCCCAAAGGGATCACAGAGAACACCCACCACAGCTGTGAAGGGCCAGATCACCTCCCTGATCACCTCCCACCATCAGTGGCTCCCCGTTACCCACCGAGAAAGATCTAGACTCGGAGGTAGGCACTGATAGAGCCCGCGGGCCACATTTTATCAGCGTTTTCTCACAATCTCTCGACTGTTTTTCGCCGAGACCTTCCGGCACGGTGGCCTGGCAGGGAACATGCAGACTTGAGATGCAGCCCACAGGTGCGGAGAGCAGTAAGTAATATGTGACCTTTATGTATGGTTTGCATGCGGATTAACTGGGCTTAACCTTGGGCCTGTGCCGGCTTTGTCTATAAATCATATAAAAGCTAGCAGGACTCCTCCAGGGGGGCCAGTGGCTCGCTATTCACTGGCTACTCATGGGGCACAGGGTCACTTCTGCGGCCAGGACCCAGGGGGCTGCGCCTGCTGGACACTGCTGCTGTTGCTCCCTGTGGCTGTAACGGAGACTTGTTCCTGCCCCCAGAATATGGCTTTGTGACCTGCTTTCTCATCCGCTGCCATCAAGAACCCAGCCAGCTTGTAGCTGAGCCTCGAGGGCACTCCAGGCCCTTCGCAATGTGACCCCATCCTAAGTGTCACACCATGTCAAGTAGCCCTCCCCTGGGCAGGCTGGGCTGCTTCCTCACTCCTCGTGCCCACGCAGCAGTTAGTGCTTCTTATAATGAACGTGCCCCTCACCACACCTGCCAGCCGGCAATGCCCCACATGCCTCAGCAACGACCCGCCAGAATGACTGTAATGCTCCCCCTTCGAAACCTCCCTCCAAGCCTTCCTCATCCCCATCTGGCTGGACTGCTCGGTCATGTATCCGAGTCACCCACCTGTGAGCTGGGCCTCATGAGTGGGTGTTCCCCGCAGCTGGCTTCCGCAGACAGCCCATCCTCCTCCAATATTGGCAGAGGTGTCTGGCCACATCCCATGACATGTATCCTGCCAAGACCTGCTTTCAACTTTAAAGCTGGAAATGATAACCCTGCTCCTCACAGCTGCAAAATTCTAGAAATCTAAACAATGGGTTGGAGGAAACACCACCCACCCAGCCCCATCCGACAATACAAGGCAGGCCGGAAGAGAGACAATCTTTCTGCACAGATGCCTGTGAGCTCTGAGGGCAGGGCGGTTTCTGAGCACCCTGGGGGTGCCTTGACAATGTCATCCTGACCTGGGCAACTCACAGCAGCACAAGCCAGAGCTGAGCAGGCAACTTGTCCTGAAACACAAGGCAAGAGGAGGCATACAGTGTCAGGTGCAAAGTGGTGTGAGACACCAGGTAGCTTTTGGCACATGCTCCAGTGGGAAATTGTAGCGACCCATATTTGCGCCCGTTTATATGCAGAAGAAAGGTTGAAGACAGATGTTGCATTTCATATGTTTAAATTCTCCGTCTATAACCACAAGGCTTAATTCTCTGGGCCCTGACCAGCCTCCCGAGAGGAGTCCCTGCAAAATACCGGGGCATCTACCGAGGGTGCTGGCTTGAGCCACCCTCCCCAAAAGGTAGTCACAGGGCACCTGGTTTTCCTCCCACGCTTCACACCACCGGAGGGGGTGTAAGGTTCAGGTCATCTTGCCAAAGGCAATTTGGCAACGTTTCCCAAAATGAGGAAGGTAGGCAGGGTCTGACCTGGGAATTATATCTTGCAAATCTGCCAACACAGAGCTCCCACCGCTCCCTCTTCTCTTTCCCCACTCCCCACATCCCCCAAGGAAGGAAGATCATGGCAGTGGCATTGTTTATTAAAGCAGAAGACTGGAAACAACCTAAATGCTTAACAGCAGGGGTCGGTTACATAGATTCTAGGACTCTGTGTCATGGAAGAAAAGAATGGGACAGCACGTCCTGTGCCAATATGAACAATCTCCATGACAGATTGTCAAGGAGGGAAGAGTCCAGCCAGGGCAGTCTGCACCCTCCTCACTATCTGCAATCTGAAAAGCAGTGGCTGTTTGGATATTCATAGAATTCACTGACCGTCCACAGAGTCTCTCTGACAGTGGACAGGGAAGTTGGAGCTATCCATTGCCTTCAAGGAAGGACACCAGTAGGAGGTGCTGGGCAGAGAGGAAGCTTGTCTTTTTACTATTTCCATTATCTATTTTAAAAGATTAAAGCTGAGGACACTCTTCCTATGTGCCTGCCTCCTCCCCTCCCCGATGCGTCCTATCCACTCCCCCATGCCACAGCAGCCAGCAGGATACAAGGCACCTGCTGTGGTATCAGAAGTGGGCTGGTAGAGCCAGGCACTCCATGCCTGTCAGTGCTTGCACTTCTGGGAGCCCGCAGGATCAGAACATGTCCTCTCACGAAGCGCTGGGAGGATCAAAGCAGATTGCCAGCGCGAAGTGCCCAGCACCCAGCGGGTAGCAATCTGACTATAGCCTGGGCCAGGCCGCTGCAGGGAACTGCTCTGACTGCACGGGAGAAGCCCTGAGACACTTGTTTCCATGCATGTGCAAGCAGGGCAGACAGCTGAGTGTGTCCTGCTGCTCCCACGATGGGGAAAGGCTGGGGTCCCGCCCAGGTGCCTGTGAATCACGAACTGTCTTCCTGGCAGGCTGCCCTGTGTCTTGGGGACTCTGACGCCCAGCATGGGTTGGTAGTGGATTCGGAAATGCTGGGGATGCGAACGACAGAGTTGCTTTAAAGGTTGTGCTCACAGAGGAAAACACTCAGGAAAGGCTTTCTTCTCCACCTGCCTTCCCAGGGAAGCAGCAGGAGAGCAGTTCTGGGGGTAGGGGTGGGGGAGGCCCAGCACATCTGCTTTCACTGAAGCCAAACTACTGTGCCCTTCAAACCACCAGCAGGCTATGGAACTGAATGACTGCAAATCCTGGCTGCCCATACAGTGGCTGGCTCACCTCAAGCAGGATGCTCATATTCCTCACCTGCACAGTGCAGGTGATCACACCTAACCTGTTGCATTATTCTAGAGATTGAGTTAAAACATGTAAAATGCTTGAGACAATACCTGGCATAAAAGAAAATGACCAATAAACATTAACGACGGTTGAGAACGAGCGTCGCCGTCACTGTCACCATCATCATTCTCTCTTCCAGCCTCATTCATTAATCTGCCAAGTACGAGAGTCCCATCAAAGCTGCCGGCCCCCAGCATGTGTGGAGCACCCCCAAGCCCCAACTGATAGGCACCTAGGGCCAGCCCTACAGCCGGAGTGTGTAGCCCAACCTGCGGACCACCAGATTCTGGCCTCACTGAACTGCCTTTGGGGACTTGACCAACTTTTTCCAGAACTAACTAGGACACATGGACAGTGGCCCTTAGTGTCCGGCACAGTTATATCCACCCTCAGCCTGGGCTGAGAAGTCAGATTCATGGCCCAACAGTCAGAACAACTCACAAAAAAATCCACCAGCTCTCCCCAAATCCCTACTCAGCATCTTCATGCTTCCAAACCAAGTCCACTTAACACTGGACACTTCTTTCAAAAGCTCACACAGGGAAAAGCACAATCTTTTCAGCTTTACAACCTTCGCTGACAATTCCCTACCTAGCCACGATGACTGGCCTTAGCAATCGACTTGTTCCCTGGGCACCCATGGTGCAGTCTGCAGTATGGCCCACTGCCCTCCGGGCCGCTCTCAGCCCCCGGCCGGCTCCCAGAGTGGACATCTGCAGCCTGGCACGGCATCGGCTCCTCTTAGACACCACGGCACACGTGGGCTGTTTTGAGAAAGGCTTGTGACACTTTAATTGGCCTTACCTTCTGGGAACAAAACCCGGAACACATCTCCGCTGTCACGTTGGCCTGTAGCAGGGCATCGGGGAAGGTGTGTGTGGTGTTCTCTGGCAGCCTGAAGCACCCGCGGTATGTGACGGTCCTCCCTGCAGGGAAGGAAACAAGTTTCTGGTGAGAAATAGTGCCCAGGGCTGGTGGTGGCAGTCAGGGGCAAAACAATGGCTTCAGACCCTCAAACACGTGTAAATACACTGCAGAGGGGCTGATTTCAAATTAGAGGGGGCAGACTGCCTGGATGGGGTATGTTGCAGCCAGGTTCCTGAGGGAAAGCAGGCACCAGAGCTTTGGTCACCGAGGGGCCCGTCAGGGATCTGCATGGCTGAAACTCACTTTGGGGAACCTGGCCAGCCTCCTAGCCATACAGCTTTCCTCCAACAAACTTGGAATGGGCGTCCATGCCAGATTCTATACTAGGTGACTCTGTTCTGGAAAGTTTTATGTCCTCTCAGCACACGCATTAAGAGAAAAGCAGGTTTGCAAATGTGGACTCCTGCCACGTTCCGTCTCTGCCATGGAGTCACACTGCTGCTTTGCTTTCTCTCTGGCCTTGGATTCCCACCCACATTCTAGGAATACTCAAGCCAGTGTTACGAAGGAACCCTCCTGCCAGGTTTTCTCCAGACCTTCTGGTGGAAAAGTCCAGTTCCCTAATTGGATTCCTTGGTGCTGAACAAGCCTTCTGGAATGTTCTAGCACCAACTGCTAGTATTTCCTCCAGATGCATCAGTTTCTTAGATCGCACCCAAACTCACACTCTGTGCTCCCTTCAACACTCCTGGGCTCAGCACCTCCCAGTACAGCCTCGTCCAGCTACAGGAAACCTCTTGGCAGACAGGCTGTGTCCTGGTGGTCTGGGCCACGCGCCATGCGTCCCATGACGATCTCTGCAGTTTGGGCTTGTGGTGGACTCACTTGCTTCCTCCTCTACATGACACCTGCTCCCAATATTGTTCTGAGGAGCAATATGCACCCACATGCCAGGCCCTGATGGTACAACCACCCTTTTGCCCTGCCTCTTGATCTGATGTCCAGGGAAAATGGGACCCGAAGAACAAAATATATAGTGGATAGGGCCATGTCCTCAGCCAGCTGCACTGGAGTGACGCTGACCCTGGGGACACAGGCTTCTGGGCATACTGCAAGGGAAGAAAGGCAGGACTCAGGAAGAGCTGGTGACTGGCATCCTGGCAAGGGACCCAGAGGGAGGTTCCAAACAGGCCTCCTTGGGGGAGGCTGCATCTGGGTCACCCCATGCTCCTTGCACCCAGTCCTGACCCTGGCACAGCAGTCACCCAGTCAGTGCTGAGTGAACAGGGTAAGGTGTGAGCTGAACAGTGAGCAGTAGGGAGATGCTGGAGGTGGCAGTGTCCACATGGCTGTCTTCTAGTGCCAGCTCTTCCTCAGGTCCCCAGGTGAGGGCCCCAGGGTGGCTCAGGGCAGAAGGACACCTCCAAAGTTATGGCTCAGGAGCTACCACTGGCGCGAATACAGGGCGTGCACACAGGCCTCGCTCCTTGGGTACGTGCCTGCTGGGGAGAAGCTGGCGTTGAAGATGTGAGGTTACCTGGCCACCTCTTGACAGAGATGCTGTCAACTCATCCCCCGGAAGAAGGCGTAGCAGGCAGGGGGCAGGGGGTCGGCAGGGGTGGGGGGGGGCGGTGATTACAGCCTTTGCAACGTTTACCATGCTGTCAGCCTAGCGGGCTTCAGGTCTGAGCCTGGCTTGAATGGCTGAGCCATCCGTCCTGGACCGATGGGCAAAGGAAGCAGAACAACAGTATCCTAGAGCCAGTGACTGAGCAGACAGGAAGGGCTGGCAGCGCAGAGAAATCCAAGAAGTCAGGAAATCCAAGAAGTCAGCACGGAGCAGTCTGAAAGGCCCCTTGGGTGGCTTGGTAGGTGACAGGGCAGGGCTCGGAGGCTAGGTAGGTGACAGAGCAGGGCTCTATGTGTGACCGGCACAGAGGCGGTGCCAGTGAGTATCTGCTGAGTTAATGGTCTTATTTAGTAAGCTAAAGTGCATGTTGGCAGAGTCTCTATCCCCTGCCCTCTTTCCCCATCCAAATCCCCTAGTTCCCAGACACATCCTCTCCGAATACAAGAAGAGTGTGAGCAACCCCAGTGGGCCAAGTCTGTATTTGGAGCCTCACAGTGGTCAGATTTGGCCTTTGCATTCACCCGTAGTTTCTCACTGGCTTCTGTACAGCTTGGCAAAATGCACCCATTACTAGAACACTCCCATAAACCCCTCTGTGGTCTTGGCTTCTGGCCTGACACCTCTTCTCCAAGCTCTGTTCTAGGCTTGAATGAATGCATCAGCCCTCCAGGAACCCCTCAGGGCTTCGGGCTGAGGTGCTGGGTCTGAGTTCTGGGTGCCCAGCTGCGTCTTCACAGTGCACTGTCCCACCCTTGCCAGTGGAGGGGGCAGGTCTCCCAGGCTCTGACTTTGCAGCCTGGGCCCTCCCGATCATGAACGGGATAACCCCCAACCTGTGCAATTGTGCACAATCATCTTACTTTATACAATCGACTCTTTATCGATCAAACTAGCAGAAGTAGGATTCATCGTCCTGCAGTGAGGATAAGCCTGAGTTTCAAATGAAAGTAGTTGGCCCCCTCGGTACGCATCTCTACTTGATAGTACTCTTGGTTGAAATTCTTGGGGGCTCAATCTTGCTCTCACAGGTGGCAGCTTACTCTCCCCTGCGGTTGCTTAATTCCTCCCACGTTCTATAATTTTGAATTGCAAGCTCATCTTCAGGGAGCGCTAGTTTATGGGAACTTTTTACACTTGGGTTGGTGGCACAGCTCTCATGAGAGCTTGATCTGCCTTTGCCATTACCTCTGCATGGCCCAGAGCCAGCTTTCATGTTGGGGCTTTCAGGAGCAGGCAGGCCATGTAAATTTGGGCCTCAGAACTCATACAAATGCAAGCCTCTGCCATCATAAATTCTTAGGTCACAAATCCTTAGGAAGATTTCTTTCTTTCTTTCTTTCTTTCTTTTTTTTTTTTTTTTCACTTGAAACGCAGGTCAAAGCAGACCTGCTTTCTTTTCATCTCCCTGACCTGCTAGGTGGTATTTTCTTTTTTAATCTAAAATGTCATTGATTTATACTGCAGTGAAATTGAATGCCACTTTAGGTAGAGGTTTCAGTGCAATTCCCTGGCAGACCCAAACCTCCTTTTCTGTCCTACTTGGACACTAAGCCCTGTGGTCACCAGGACCAGAAACTTCCCTCCACAGAGATCCGAAGGCGTGCAGCATCTGTTCACACGGTCACTGTGATTCTTAGAGCCAGGTATTTCCTTATTGTCTTGCTAGTTCACCTATACATTTGAAACAGTGCTTATTAATTTTACCAAGCATTTCTAGGTGATTATAGCCAGGAGATGTCCTGATTATCTGGTCTGCCCCACTGCTGGAAATGTAGGTCTCTCTCTGCACTTTACCAAAGAGACTGGAGTCCAGAGAGGGGAAGCAAGTTTCCTGAGGTCACACAGCATGTCACAGACATACCTAGGCCTAGCTCTCAGGCCTCCTGATCAAGTTCTCTCTGCTGCAGGGGACCAGGAAGAGAGATCTAGTCATGAACTCAAGCACCTTTGGCAGGCCCTAACCCTGCCACAAGCTTGTCTAGTGAAGGAGACAAGGAACAGGACATGGGGTCTGTTCCATGCAGTGTGGGCAAGAGGCCATGAGCAGAGGGACGTGGGGAGCAGGGAACAGACAGCTCCTGGAGAGCCTGGCACACTCACGCTGCCTGGAGCCGGGCTGCAGCTCCTCCACGCGGTACACAGAGAGCCGGCTCACGCCCCCACACAAGGAGCCCTTCTCCCCTTTGCAGTCCTGGTTACACTCCTGTGGCCCGACGCTCATCACCGGGAGCCGGTTCCCGCAGAAGCACTCAGCACCGGCCTCCAAGCCAGCATAGAGGTAGGACCTGCGGGGAGAGGGGGGCTGGGGTGAGTCCCCACCCTGGTCCAGAGTTAGGGGTGGGGTCTTAACAGCCCTGAGGGCTGGATCAACACATGGCTGGTGGCTGGGCCAGGATGAGGGTCAGAGACGGGGCCACAGCCATCAGCACACGGCTGGCTTGGGGTCAGGGCTAAGACAGACCTAAAGGTCATGTGGCTTCACTTAGGAAACAGTCTTTCCTCAGTGATGAACTAATTTAACCAGCCCAGTGGTCTCTGGTCAGTCCTGAGCTGCATCCCCTCAGGGGCCATCCAGGGTAAAGATTACAGCCACTGGCCGTCAACATCACCCGCCCAGGGACTGCCTTTTGCCCTTATTTGCAGGAGAGCTGGCTGCCTGGGGCCCCATACTTACCGCTCAGCACAGGCATCCAGGCAGTGGGAGACGGTCATCTTTCTCAGGTCATAAAAAACAGTCGCTCTCAGAGTCCTCTCCTGGCCATTGTCACTGAAGCAGCCCACGTAGGTGCCTGCAGGGCGGGAAGCACAGAGGAGACTCAGAGGCCACAGGGAATGGGAGGAGTCCTAGTCGTGGGCTCACTCTGAGAAGAGGCCAAAGCACTTATCAGAGGGCCCTGGGGCAGAGCCTGCAGCCAAACTTCCCTGGACGCTTCACCTGCTCCGTTTCTGTCCCTTTTCTTAGGTAGAGGCCCACAGTCATCCAGATACACTGCCAGCAGCCTGGCACTGCCTGGGTACGTGTTCTCCCGCCACCCCAAATCTCCAAGTCCGGCTGGTTGACTGGACTCCTCTCCTTCCAGGCTTGGAGAGGCCTCTGCCTCCACTGAGGTCCTGATTGTCACCTCCTTGTGATCCAAGGCAAGAGACCAGTTCAGGAAAGTCTGACTTCAGTGAGTATAAAGATGACCCTGCACAAAGAGAGACCTATTTCAAGGAAAGATCTGCCAACGAGGAGGGAGTAAGCTCCCCTCGCTGTTGGAGTGCAACAGATGTCCCGTGTGGGAGAAAACAGGACTAGGGACCTCTGAGTTATCACCTGCTGGGACCGCTCTGGCATCTACCTGGAGTGGATACCAAGGGCCCTAGGAAGCAGCAGCAGTGCCAACCAACCACGTGCAAGGCTGTAGGCATCTGTGAGACCTTGCCTGGCCACTCCATGGCAGGGTGGTGTCCCCCAGGGAGGCAACTGGGGGTCTGAAGAACAATGCAAGCACAAAGCTAACATGTTTGGGGTTCGGGGGGGTAAAGGTCATGTGCACCAGAGAAGATGCATCTGGGAGTTTGCAAACATGACACAGTGGGGCCCCAAGACGTGATGCATGCCCACCACAGCCACACCTCCACCCAGTGGGCACCTGGATGAAGTGCTAAACACGTCTCCAAGAACTGGACCCGCGCCCTCCAGCCTCTGGACATTAGGCTGCTCTGAGAAGGAATACCCCAAGGCCTCCTGACAGCCTGAGGCGCCCACATGCCTGGCCTGACCTCGCCTAAATCACTTCAACCTCTGTGCCTTGGCGTTCACATGTGTGAAAAGGATAAATGCCCCCCCCCATCCTCACCCCGCCTGTGCTCATTTCTTCAGCCCACATTGGCACCTGTCCCTGCTCCCTCCCTCACATCCATGCTCTGCTTCCTACCTGTGCTTGACAGTTCATATCTCTGGCCGTTCCAAGCCCTATGGCCTTCCCTTTCTCTGGGTTCTTTTTGTGTGTGTGTATCAGAAAAACTTGTCATTGCCCCAATCTTTGTCATTAACTTGTTAAAAATCTTTATGCCTGTGCACTATATGTCCTGTCTCCATAATGCCACTGATGCCCACCGAAGGCAGGACCACCCCTTCACAAAGTGGTGACCCCGAGGGGTTCACCAGGGCCACACGCAATGTCGACATCAACACCTACTTGGCAATGGCGGGTGACTGCTGCTAAACCCACACTGCTGTCTTGTAAAGGTGCCTGAGGGGGAGCAGAGAGCCCAGATGCTGGAGGGCCATAGCCCCACTGACCACACCAAGGCCCTTGTTTAAGAAAGGAACACAGGGGAGGAGACCAATATCACGGGCGCCAGGCCAGGAAGGGCCAAAGGACTGGGGGGCCTTAGGCTAGAGAACACCGCAGCGGCAGCGGGTGACCTCGCTGAATGTCCCCCTTTCCAGGCAAGGAACCTCTCAAGGTCACCTTCATGTTGGGGGTGCCCCTCAGCATACCCTGACCACACCCCACTGTCCATCCATGGGAATGTAGTGAGAATTCCTGCCCAGACACAGCGCTGCCAGCTTCTCCCCCTCTGAATGGAAGTCTGAGGGCAGCAGAGTCCAGGCAGAAAGCCTTCCCTCGGTCAACAGAAAGAAATTGTTCTCCATCTGCCTACTTAGTCAATGAAAACTAATATTTGAGAATTTTCTGATATGTTGCTCAACAAAGAAGAAATTCTATTACAGTGTTCAATTAAACATCCGAAACACAAGCTCAGGGATTGTTAAACATTTATCAGTGTTGATGGGAAATTAACCACCAGGCTCTAAGGTGCCTGGCTCAGGACCTGAAGGCTGAGACGGCAGGTGCAGTGTCTGGGGAGCAGACTTTGGGGAGCAGCTGTCTTAGAGTCAAGTCCAGGCTCCGCCAGCACGCGGCCATGTGACCTGCAGGCGAGTCTTCAGCCTCTCAAGCCTCAGCTTCCCCCTCCGCAAGATGAAATCCATAGGGCTGTCCTGGTGAGAATTCTGTGAGCACACAGATATAAAGTGTCCCATGCAAGTCAACAGTGAGTGTTCAGTGGTGACAGCTTTTATGGTTAATGCATCATTATTTCTAATAAACATATTTAGATTACCATACTGCCCCGAGACACAGATTCTTCATCATTAAAACAGTGATGGCACCACTTACATCACAAGGCTGTTGGAAGAAGGAATGAAGAGAAACAACAGATGTGTCTCTATGTAGGACAATGCTTGGCACAAAATAGATGTCTCAGTAAGTAGCAGCCATTATTATTCCGATGCTCCATCTAACCCGGGACCTCGTGAGAGGATGGATCAGTAAATATTAGCCAGATAATTAACACATTAATAAGAGAGGGAAAGGAAAGGTCTCCAGCAGTCAGCTTCTGGGTCTTTGGAAAATGAGGAGTGGCCAGTTACCAGCAGCCCACTTGAGGGAACTGACCAGGCTGAAGAGAAGCACAGGCCTGGCTGGTCCCCTCTCAGCTGTGCAGCCAGGGCCGGAGATGCAGATGGCGCCCTTCCGCTTGCAAGAAGGAGGTGAGCTCTTTTTTCCCTGGAAAATAACGAATGGCTTTTCTAACTCCCTGACAGAAGCGAGAATGTGCAGAAAAGAAAGGACTTCCGAGAGAGACGCTGGGATGCTTTCTGAGGCGGATTTATTACTTTCAGCTGAAATGGAGGCCATGCATTACTGTCTGTGACTCACATCTGTTCATTTGCACATCAGAATGGACATGCCGTGAGGCTATTAGCGATGGCTTTGGAGATATTGGAATGTCTTTGGAAATTACTATCAATAAAAAACAAACTGGCTATGGAGAAGTTACTATTTTTCCCCTAGTAAACTTACTGACATTTTATTCCATTATGGATGTTGTCCAAGGTATAATGAAATGCTCGGTGATTGATGGAGCCTCCTGCAGTTTCCCCGGGGTTACAGGATCCCCTTTCAGGAGGATGGCGGGCTGCCCAGGCTGCAAAGAGACACTCTCTTTGTCTGCAGCTCCAGCAGCTGTCCCAGGGGTCAGCCTGCCGGCTACTCTCCACCAGTGAGGCCCACCTGGATGGAAAGGGCCCGCGGAGCCCCCAAGAGATGAGGGGGCTCGTGGATCCTCAGGCCAATGTCCCACTTCCCTCCTTTTTCCCAGGAGCTCCAGCCTTGTGACACCAGAGCTCCTCCCAAACCGCAAAATTTTCCTTAAATCCTGGGGGAGACTCAAAATCATTAACAACTCATGGGGACACCCACTAGGCCACCCTTCAAACTAGCAGTAAGGGGCATTAACCCCTCACTTGCTAGGAGGAGTTGGGGAGGAGGGTCCACGATGGATGGAGGGCAGCCAGAGCAGAGAGGGCACCCCGGGGCTCAGGAAAGTCACAGTGACAGCACGTTAACAATTGATACTCCCACTGGAGCATGGAGGCAGACGAGTCCTGCTCACAACTCACTCGGGCCTCTTCAGCTCTGCGGTATGCCTGCCACCACTTGTTCCAGTCGTGGGAGAGGACTGAAAGCAAAGGGGGCCACCGGGTCTCCCACACATTAACCCACAGCTGAAATGCTGAGCCCTGTCCTGAAGTCGGCTGTAGAGAGCGAGGCGCTGGTGTCTAAGGAATCGAGGTTACCCCGAGCCTGTCTTACTGAGGGTGAACACCGGGTCATACACAGTGAGTCACGCTTAGATCCTCGATCCACACTTGGACAGGGAGAAGTCAAGGAATCACCACTAATCTGTGCAAGATCACAGAGCCAACAGCTGGTGCTGCTAAGATGGGAACCCCAGCGCGTTTTCCACACTGTGCTCTTTCTCTGGCTTCCTCTCAAGAAATACACATTGACGCTTGTCAGTCATTTATACTTTAGTCTACCTGAGTTGCATCAACATAATCTGCATAGGAAACCACTTTGCAGGGCTCCTCTGGTGGTGCAGGGGTTAAGTCTCAGCAGTAGGAAGCCTTCAGTAGCCACTGCAGCCTGAGTTCGATCCCCAGCCTGGAAGGTGGCCCACATGGTGCAGCAGACCTCTTCTGACCTACCTTCTGCTCCCCTCAGCAGCAGCCTTCAGTCCATCTGCCTGTTCTATTCCCCGCTCTGTCTCTGGTGAATTCTCTCACCTCCCTGCACCTCAGCTCTTGTATACATAAATAAATAAAACCAATTTTTTTTTTTTTTTTTAAGAAAGCCACTCTGTGGGTGTGTTGGGGAGTTTCCAGAAAGCAGAATAATCCTCATTTCCCTCTTACTTCTAACACGGGAGCCTTGCTCAGGAACTTCACCGCAAGGGCTGGGACTTTGATTTCATGGAGGCAGAAATGGACAGGTCTCCAGTCCATTTTACCAGGCTGCCTCTTTTGTGGCAAGGGCAGCTTGGGTTCCTTGCTCTTCCCAGAAGCTTCTCTTCTCCCCAGGCCTAAGAACTCTGCCTTTGGGCTCACAGCAGCTCACCTTGAATCTCATATCCCTCTTTGACCCAAGCTTACAGGGAGCTCTTACATCCTTTTTCTATGTCCTGACACCGAGAGCACCAACCACACCTTGGACAGGAAAAGAGAAGTTCCCTTGTGATTTAAGGTGCAGAGCAGACAGAATGGTGACAGGCTGCTGAGACACTGACTGTGCTCAGCCACCACTGGCAACATCCCCGGTGCTCTGCAGGCCTCTCCACAGCAGGCTCTTCCTCTCCCCTGCACAGAGGTGTGACCTAGCAGAGAGCCCAGACACAGCAGTGGGACTGCGGGGGGTCTGGTAAATACCCCATCACGTCCCCAGGGCCTTGCTGTTTGCAGCAGGAACCCCAAGGAGTGTGAATCTCCCCAGCCCCTTGAGTGGCTGTCTTCTCTTCCTTCCCCAGCTCCCACTCCCTACCAGTGTTCCTGGTATCTCCTTCAGAACCTTGATTTCAGGGTTTGCTTCCAAGGAAGCAAAAACAAGAAATGACCTTGGGAATTTAATTTCTCCATGCCTACATTTCTTCACTTGTAGAACTGGGCTGTACTAAGGATAGTATTGTACTTAGTACATTCACAGGTGCCTAGTAAAAGCTGTACGAGTTAGCTATGCTTGTGAAATAACAAAAGCTTCCAGTTACGGGACACCCAACAATACACTGGACCCTCTAGTCTGGGGCCTCTCAGCTCACACATGCTTCCAGGTCAGCTGGGGAGACAGCAGCTAGCAGATTGCTGGCCTCCAACCCCAAAGTTCAGGATTTGGTTCCAGTCTGGAAGAAACGAGGCTCTGCATTTATAACCGGCTCCCACGTGCTGCAGGCTTGGGACCCCACTCTGGAAGCCTGGCTCTACATCATTACATTTACTCTTCACAGCTACCCAGGCTGGCATTTCTACCTCCATTTCAGAGTGACCCAGAGAGGTAAAGAGACCTGTCTAGGTCACCCAGTAAGTGTGCGGCTTGCTATGTCTTGAGCTGAGATTCAAGGTGAGGCTGCTGTGAGCCCAAAGGCAGAGTTCTAGGAGAGCTGTTCACACACCTTGGCCTTGAGCCCCGTGGGGTCCCAGCTGGTAAGTGAGCAAAAGCCCAGAGGCCTTTCCAACACAGCCCTTGCCTGCCCCCGGCAGCTCAGGAAGCCGCGGGTCTGCAGAGCCCACACCTCAGGTGATGGGGAGGACTAGAGAAAGCGGACCCCAATCCCATGGCTGCAAGTTGGGCTCTGGGAGCAGCTGCCAGACGTGCTGAACACCTACCTCGGCTGCTGGCGGCTGTCCTGGGGGCCTCTGGGCCCAGGGCGGGTGGTCCCTGGGGATCACCAGTGAAGTGGTGGAACCAGTGACGCCGCAGCTGACGTAGCTCCGAGTTGCGGCTCCGGAGCCAGCGGGGCCCAGACCGGGTCCGGGTCAGGGGACTCCGCAGCATGTCCACGCCAAGCAGGAGCTCTGGGCTGACATGGGGGTTGTGCAGGGCTCTGCTGTCCAGAAGGCCCACCCCCAGCGCCATGGCGGCCACAGGTAAGGCCTGCAGGGGGCCGGGTGCCCGTGGGCCGGGCGGGAGGGCCACTCGGGCCCGCTGCAGCAGCAGCAGGCTGCCTGTCATCAAGTAGGCAGCCGTGAGGAAGAACAGTAGGAACTGTGTTCTGCGGAGAAACTTCTGGAGTCGGAAGAAAGGTTTGGCCATGCCCCTGGGCAGCGGGGCTCCGGCCTGGAGCCCGGGGACGGCTCCTAGCACCCAGGCGGGAAGGAGGCCAGAGCCTCCAGATGCATCATCTCCGCATCCTGGCTCCCGGCTCTGGCCTGGCACTCCTGGGGTCACTGTTCCTGCCCCGGCAGCTGCTCGGGGGGCACCATCACTGACACTCACGCAGCTGTGGTACACGCTTCACCATTCCTGAACGATGCTGACCCTCATCTCCCGGGTCAGAAATCTGTAAGAGCAGAGAAAGAAGACTCAGATGCAAGGGAAAGAACAGTCACGTGCCACGTGCCATCCCTCCAGGGTCAAGAGCCCCCCCACACTCCTGGACTCTGCTGTGTTCAGAACCACGCGACAGAAAATGGTTCAAATCCCAGCTCTGTCACTAGTTGTGTGACATCCACTGAGTCACTGAACCTGACTTGGGCCTCAGATTCTTCATCTATGAAATGCCCATAATGACAGCAATAAGGAGGAGCAGCTGGTCCTTACTACGTGTCAGATGTGGGCTGAACACTCGAAGCAATCTCTCATCTAATCCTCACACCAATCCAGTGAGGCAGACACCACAACATCCCCGCTCAACAGATAAGGAAACCACAGCAAAAGGCGGGAATGGCACATTCCCAGAGACAAAGCGATCAGAGGAGCCGAGGTTCAGAGCGGTGTTCTGAGCGACTGCATGGGCCAGCCTCTAAGGAGAATGCAGAATAATTGTGTGCTCCCAGCTCAGGGCATGCGTATACAGAAGGCACTTAGTACATGCACACACTCTGCTAGCCATGTTTTAGAAATTGCTTCTGTAAAGACTGGCAGGCTCTAACACAGGAGAGGGGCCTGGAGTGGGGTGGCCTGGCAGGCGGGGCCTCCGGGAGCAGGTGAGCACCAGGGCCATGTACCTGCACAGAGGCCATGCTCCCGGGGTGGCAGGCAGGAGGGCTCTCCGTTCCCTCAGTCCCGCTCCCCCACTCTCCCACTGGGCTTTGGTTCTCACTGGCGGTGCCTCTGAAGTGTATTGTGAAGGATTGGCAGAGGCTTCTGCAGCTGCCAGGCGCAGGGCCGCTGTGCGAATACTGCCCTTAGCACAAGGACAGGCTTGTCCCAGGAAGAAAGGCTCCTAGGAGCATGACTAAGCCACTACCCGTAACTAATGTGGCCTGGGACCCCCGCCAGGCTGCACAGCCCCTCAATGGCTGCTCTGTGCACAGGGCCAGGCGGCTGGCCGGGTGTGAGAGGAAAGACAATGTTTGGGCTCTGGTGGCGTGGCACCCCAGGGGCGGAGACCGAAAGGGGCCCAGACCAACCTGGCCCTCTCTGATTCATGACTAAGGGCTGCCAGGTTCTGAGGTCACCAGGGAGGTCGAGATCTTGGGAATAAGGGTCGGCAGGTGCTTGAGCCTGGGGCGGGGGTGGAAGGCCAGTTAATCAGCAACAGAAGGTGGAATTAAACTGCGTCAGGGAGCTATTCCGGATGGAGTTCCAGAGCTTTTATTCTCTCTCTAAGCTGGTGCGTGCCAGGCCCACCCTGGCCAGCCTCGTCAGATTTGAAAAACCACAGAGAAAATCCCAAGAAATCCTGACTGATCTCCTTGCCTCCAGCTTGGCCCCTCCAATGCATCCTCCACGAGGCTGCCAGATTCGCGTGACACGCAAATCTGACCACGGCGCTCTCTGGCTTCAAACTCCTTTCAATAGCGCCCCGTGGCTTTTGGGATAAACTCCAAGCTCCTTAGCCCGGCATGCTAAGCCCCTTCAAGATCCAGCCGGTCCAACCTCACCGCTTGCCAGGCCCTTCCCTCTGGTCCCCGGCACACACGCACACCACATCTATCTGCCCTGGTGATGATGCCCAGTCGCCTTGCATGTCTTTTCCTTCCTCTTTGTCTGGTGAATCCCTGCGAATCCTCCCAGGCTCAGCTTCCTCTAAGAAGCTTTCCCTGACTACCATCCCCACACGCTGATACAAATTCCTCTGACTTCCCACAGCCCGGGTTGACCCTCATCCCAGCCTCATGGTGCAAGGATGATTTGAATTGCTCGTCTACTTGTCAATCACCCCCACAGGGCTGTGGCTGACTCAGGGTTAGAGATCATGCCCTATTAATTTTCCTTAGCTGCAGCCCCCAGCCTGAGGCCTCGGTGGCCATGTGCTCAGCCATCTTTGTTTCTGAATGCTTTTAAATACATTTTTTTGAAGAAGAGTACAAATCGATGCATGGTAGTCTTAGGGCAGTGAAATCCCAAGTTCTACTTAACCAGTCATGGGAACTGAGCCCAAAACTTGGAAGCAGACCATTGCATAAGCACAAAGGCTGCAGTTTAGCCAATTGGAGGTTTTTCAGACACATGGAAACTGACACCTGCTCCTGAAGCTTAGATGTTACCCTTTCTGTATGGCAACTCTGTGGAGGGGAGGGGTCGCAGGTCCTCCCACAAAGGGCTTCTGTTTTTACAAGTGGGATTCTATCAGTGAAAAATCCTCTCCTACAAAAATCAATAGCACGAGTCCTATGGAAAGAAAGGTTCTGATGAGACAGAACGGAAAGGTGAGCACTGGGTTGACAGTTGAGAATTTTGAAGGCAAGATGTGCGTGAACCCCCGCACTTTATACATGGGACTTGGTGGGGTGCAGGGAGTAGGGAGTCAGGAAATTATGCATGTATTTTGTCAAGTGTCCCCCAACTTTTCCACCATGTTCACCTCTTGAGGCTGGCAGCTCCCCCAGGGCACAGCTTGTAAGTGACTTCTAGGCATCCCCCAGATCCCAGACGCAGCCCACAGGACAGTGACAGTAAATGCTCGCTGAACCACCGAGAGGTGGGCTGGCCTCACGGTCAGACCATGAGGATGGCTGGGCAGAACTGGCCACTACCTGGGGGACATCTAGCCATTGCTTGTTTGTTTGCACAGGACATGGGGTTCCTTCAGCTGTGCCTGCTGGCACCCTCAGTCAGGAGGCCCTTCCATATAGAAAGTCCACCTTGGGCAAATCACCACACAGGGCAGTGTCCAGCTCCTCACTTGTTACAGGGAATAAATCGGCATTGCTGTGAGAACGAATTGGACACTTAAGCCTCTGTTACCTGCAGACTGGACAAGCACTGGCCATAGATGCAAAAGAGGCAAAGAAGCAAATGCTAGCAGAGAGGCCTGCAGCAGCTTTGCCAAATGGGGACGTCTCAAGGGGTCCCTCACCTCCTCGAGCCCCCACTCTCTGGGGACCCATGCCTCCCTTTCTAGTTTGAAGCTAAATGGTACTGGCTACTTGCAATTGCTTTGTTTGTTCAATGGCCCCATTCAGTAAGTACTTGCTGCATTAATGGGCCGGGCTGGGTTATGTGCTTTACCTGCACTATCTCATTTACTCCACCCATCCCACTGAGGGTCAAAGTGTCTGAGGCTCAGCTGGTTCAGAAAACCAGGTCAGCATCCAGACCCAGGCCTGCTGCTCCAGAGCCTTCCCTGGGCCCACAGAACTTCCTGGACCTCTCTTCTCGTCCTGCCACTGGTTTCCTAGAAGGCAAGTTTATCCTTGAAAGGAGCTTGTTGTGCCCCTGTCAGCAACTACCTGAAACCATGCCAGGCTGGAGTGCCCATATGGTGCTGCTTCTATGGGCCAGACCCCCTCACTGCCATGGTAAGGTCTGGTCTCCTGGGGCCACCACCTCCTTGGGAAGTAAGGGTCATTTTTACCAAAGTTTGCTGCCCACATGGCACTCCCATTTTGGACAATGCTGTGGGGAAGTAGGGGGGATGACGCAGGCTCCCTGGGCAGCAGTTGATGATCCTGAAGGGGGGCAGGGCTGGACAGATGGCACTTACCTCTCAGCGAGGCTGGGGGCAAGACACTGAGCATGTGTGAGAATGGAGCAGCAGGTGAGGGGACAGTAGAGGGTGTCCCTGGGGCCTGCGGGCTGAAGTAGAGTTCAAAGTGGCCCAGGCCTGGTCAGTGGCGACTGGGATTCAGGCATGTGGCCCTGCCTCCCCACCACCCCCAGTTCAGAGAGGGCAGGTCACGGCAAATAAGGGGGGAAAGACTGCAAACACCCCTGAAGCATCTCTGCCACTCAGTCATCACAGCCAGAGCTGTGACCCTCTTGGAATTCAAAGCTTTGCATTCTCAGTGGGGTAAGGACCCAGAAAACAAGGGAACAGGGCCCAGCAGGTGGCTCTCAGACTAGAATGGGCGCTCTAGGTGCCAGCAGTGTGGCGCTCCAATCTCGGTGACTGGCAGCTGGTGGTTCTCAGCCTGGACCTTGACTATGTGGCAGCAAGGGGTGCAGTTCTGAATTCCCCCTTCCCTGTCTTGTCCTGCCCCTCCAAGCCCTACCTTTCTCCCATCAGGTTCAGCACCTGTCTTCTGTCCTCTGGAACCTATTTCCAGAGGGACCTACTGCCATAAAGAATGAATGATGCCGCCGCCTGCAATGGCTCTCCAAAACTCAGTAGCCAACTTCAAGTGCCTCAGCCTAGCATTCAGCAGCCCTTGTTAGTACATTTCCCTACACCTTCCTTTCACTATTGCTTCTAGAATGCTAAGTCCCAACTGGAGTGTTCCCAGGCCAGCGTCAGCTGCTTCATACCCCCACACATGCTTTCCCACCACCTGTAGGGATGCCTGTGCCCCATCTTGTGGTACAGGAATGAAATACTGGGCGGCCAGCTGAAAGCCGCCTCTTCCATGAAGTCTTTCCAGTGCCCCGGGCAGAGTGGCTCCCAGTGCTAGCTGCATTGTGACTTGTGTCTGGGTGCTCGTGACTTGAGTCAGGGCTCCCTGCTACTTGGCCCCCAGGAAAACTGTGTGCACTGGTCACTCTCCAATGCCATGGTGTCCTCATCCCAGAAACCCACATCACTGAGTCTTAGAGCATCTGAAAGCGAGCAAAGGACCCACTGAATACTAACCCGCTGGGCCCCTGGGTGGGGCAAATTCTGGGAAAGAAATAAGGTAGGATTCCTACCTTTGAACTTCAAAACTTAAGAGAAAATTTTCCAATAAAAAACATGGCTACAATGGTATAAAAACTAAAAATAAGGTCAAAACTACATTCAGTGCAAATGAGTGGGGTGAAGAAATCCATTAAACTCACTGATGAAATTCAAATAAATAAGTCGTTATATACCACACACTATCACATGTGCTGAATGAGTGAACAGATGAACAAATGAATGAGTGGTTTTCCCATAAACTAATGGCAGCAAGAGCATTTCCATCCCATTATACAGATGCAGAATGTGATTCAGGGGAGGGCCTATTAATCTGACCAAAGACCTCTATTGTTAGACCAAATTCAAGTTTTGTGATTTCAAATTTGTGATGTCAGCTACAATATCACATGGACTTCACCTTTCAACACAGTGGGTGGAGATTCTTCTAGGCACCCAGCCAGACAACACCATTCTGGGGCTACGTTCCCTCTTGACTATTCATTGGGAGTCCAACCTACTCTTTGAATGGCCAATCATGACTCTTGTGGGCATCCTCTGGCCACCTCTTTTATAGAGAATTCTATTTTGTTCTTATATTTCTGCTACTCAGTGGTAGATCCTTGAGGGTTATCCAGCCCCCTCTGAATGATGTGAATGAATCTGGGCAAGTCAGCTCTCTGCCCACTATGCCTACAGGTACTGAGGTGGCGGCTTCGTGCCATGGGAGGGACCCAAGACACCTTAGGATTCTGCCTCAGAATCCTCCTGGCTTGGTCATGCCAAGCCTCCAAAAGGGGTGCACATCCCCAAGGATCTCCAGCAGCAGAAAGAGGAGTGAAGAAGTGGGGAGAGACCATCACACTTACCAAGAGGCACTGCATTGTATAGCTTATCAATAAATCCAGCCTATTCTCCCATCCATTTCTCACCTCTATACTGGGAGGCAGAGTTCCTTCCCTTGCCACATTCTCCAAAAGCTGCATATTTCTGATAATTTTGTAGATGAAATGTCAACATGGTGATTATTAACGCCACGGTGAGGAGAGATTAGAAGAAGCAGTGTGGAAACCAGACCATGAGACGTGGGGAGAAGGTAGTTAAAGGCCACGTTCACACACGCACTCCCCACGGGAACGGGGCCTGTCTCTAGCCCAGCCCAGCCGTGGCGGTGGGTGTGATCATCTTATAGAAGAAAAAGGTCTAGACACTAAGCTGCCCCAAAGTCCTTGGCCTTGACCTCAGCACAGTCCAGAAGGAGAGTCAGGAGAGCTGATCTTATCAAGGCTGAATTGGGTCTGAGCCAAAGGGGCATGCAAGCTGGGAGCATCCACAAAAAGAAACAGCTCTTCCCCAGACACTATCGCGTGGCCCCCTGAGCTCTGCTGTCCTTCATGCTGACTCTTCACGATCCAGCTGGACTCACTCCCCAGTGCTCAGTCTGCAGTGGCCTGGCAGGACGCTCAGGCAATAGCTGTGGACCAACCAGGGGACACAGTCTACTTCCGCGTGGTTAGGCAGACAGAAAGGGGAAGAGCCGGAGTCTAGTCTTCTGCCTAATTCAGGTTTCTCTTCATTTTCACTTCAGGCCAGAGGACAGCACCCCACAGGGCTCTCACAGCCTCTACACAGTGGCATTCTTCCAGAGGAGCTATGGAAATGGTTCTGATGTGAGGACAGGGGGATGCAGCCACAGGTGAGGGCTAGGGGGCGTCTCCTGGGGAACATGGAGCTGCCAGGCTCTGCCCACCAGTCCCACTGCTGGCCAAGCTCCGTTGTAGACCAACACACCTGCTCACAGACCAACACAGCTGCTCCTCTGCTCTCCCGGGCTCTAATGGCCCATTGGGGCACGTTTTCCAAGGGATGTCTGAGGGCCAAGCTAATGTTTGGGACTGGGGGGAGGCAGCCCCCCTTGCTGCACTCCAGAACGTGCAGCCATCTGTAGGGGCTGCTGCAGACAGAGTGGGAGGGAAGCCAGCTTCCCCGACACCGAATCCTTCACTCCCCACCAGTCGTCTCACTTCTAGCTTGGTCGGCTAGGCATTCAGGGGGCTAAAAAGAAAAGCCCCCCATCTCCTGATCCCAGCCATGGTTTCTCAACTTGGGACAACACAGTGCTCCAACAAAAGACGTTATGATGCTCCAGTGACAGGAGAATGAAGGCATTTCACGTTAGAAAAGTACCGTGGAATCCCAAGTTTGTCCATCCTGGGGGCCGCTGGGCACCAGTGGAGTGTGCAGCAGCTTTATCCCAGGGTACTCAACAGAAGGACTAAGTCCCCCCTCTCCACCCTGTCTCCCCTTTGGCAAGTTAGCATCTAGCAGGTGCTGAGGCTCAGGGGGGAACAAACAAAATCACGGGAAAAACCAGGCAAAGAGAGAGGTTACCCTGAGGCAGGGAGCCCCAAGTCTTCTCAAAATAAAAGAAAAACGCAATTAGCAGCCTTCAGTCATAGTCTCTGTCCACATCTAGAAAATACAAAGCCCGATTTGGGGTAATTTTCCGGAAAAATAAATACATTTCGTTTTCGCCTCTGTTCAAGTTCACTAGGAGACTGAGAAAACCCTTCGCTGACCGGAAGCCTGGCTTGGTAGCGGAACGAGAGGGAGCTGCTTCTGGGTAAATGTCTCCTCCTCGGAGAGGCAGTGCGCACCCCAAATCCTTTCCTCACCCCCTTCCTCCTGGTCGGAACAGCGGCTCCCTCCCGCGAAACGGACGGTCGCTTCGGATTCTAGAAAGGGGACGCAGCTTCTGAAACTGCCTTACGCACCCCCGCGCCATCCCGATCATTTTGAGGCGCACCCCTCCACGCGCGCACACTCACGCTCCCCTTCCGCGGCAAACGCGCCCCAGTCCCACGAAAAGCGCCCCCCGCAAGCCCCCGCCGAAGCTCCAGTAAGTGCAGCTCGCCGCGCACCTGGCCGCAGCTACACAAACTTGTTTGCCCGCGGCTAGGGAAAACCCTGCCCGCGCAGGGGTCCTGCTTGGGGGCCCCGGGAGACAGGACTCACCCCGCGATCACCGCCGGCTAGGGCGCCCGCACCGGCAGCCACGCGCGCGCCTCCCCGGGGCGCGCACCTGGCCGCAGCGGCTCGGTGACGGTGAGCACGAGCAGGAAGAGCAGCAGGAAGGCACCGCTGTCTGCCTTGGGCACCATTTATCCTCCGTTCATCGTCCCCGGGGCGGCCTCGTGACCCCGCGGGGAGGCCGGACCAAGCCGGGCTGAGGGCCAAGGGGCCGGGTCGGGGCCGAGAGCGGAGAGGCTGCAGGAGAGGGCTACGGCAGGGCCGCGGGCTCGCGCGCGCTCCCAGCAGCAGCCCGGGGTCCGACTCCGGCTCTCGCTCCGCGCAAGATGGCGGCCGTCTTGCTCTGCTCCGCGCCCCGCCTCCCGCTCGCGACGCCGGCTGGGGCCTGAGAGCTCAGAGCCGGGAGGCGGGGCCTGCGCGCCCCAACGCGCGAGGACCGCGGCGAAGCGGTGGCGGAGCGGAGGCGGAGCCTGGGAGCTGGAGCCTGACCCCGGCGAGGCCCAGAGTGGGGCCAGTAGAGGGCGGGGGCGGAGGCGGGCCTGCTGGAGGGAGGGGCCGGGAGGAGTCGAGTGCGTGCCTTTGGCTGAGCGGGGAGACGGGGCTCGAGGCCCAGCTCTTGGAGAGAGGGCCTGCCGAGGGCCAGGCCGCTGGGCGCTGGGCCCAGGTGGTGCGGAAGGTGGGAGGGCGGGGGAACAAGGTGACTGACACAGAAAGGGGCAGGGGAGTGGGTCGGAGGGGTTGGAAACCAACAGGCTGCGGATGGCTCAGGGGGCCAAATATGAAGAAAGGGCCAGGGCACACAGGAGGGGGTCCAGTTGGGTGGTGGCTGTAGAACAACCCTGGGACATTAAGCATCTTCACACCTTGCACACCTGTGGGCCCAAATCCTGTCAACCGCCTAGGAATGCGCCCTAAAATGGTCTTCTTAAAGCGAGGAAAACTGGAAGGAAGCACTCGAATTGTCTTTGAGTTAGTTTTGGGGTGAGGCAGAAGGGTCAGTACTGTGAGGTATAGACAGGTGCGGTGGCTTCACTGGCACACACAACTGAAGATGTTTCCTACCGATGAGGATGTAACGTAAAGGGCCGTTACACAAAGAGAGCAGATTGGAAGCCCAGATCCTTGAGCTAATGGAGCACAGCAGGCCTCTGGAAGAAGGGGGCTGCACATGTGATGGGGGAGATGGGGGTAAGAACACTGCCACAGCAAGCCACTTCTGTGTGGAGGAAAAGCTCCTGGGACTGCGCCCCAAGGGCTGGCCTCACATCTTTTGGGAACAAGACAATAGCTTAGGGAGGACAGCAGCTGGGGTCTCCTCAGCAGGAACGAGGAAGGACCACCAGCTACAAAGCCTGGCACAGGGGTGCTGGGGCTGGGGGGAGAGGTAAATATAGGAGCAGAGAAAAGGAGAAATGGGGCCAACATTGGTGGGGGCTTGCCCTGCTCCTATCCCTGCCAACCCACTCCCCCAGAGGCTCTCAAGCCTTTTTAAGGCATGGTACCCCTGAGTGTCCCAGGATTCTAGCTTGTGACACCTGGGGTCATCTGAAGGAAAGCTGCCACTCTTCCTGGTGGAAATGGCCAAGGTTAAACAAGGCTAGGCAGACTTGCCTGCTCCTGTCCCCTCAAGGGTACAACCTAACACATGTGCTAAACAAAGTTTCTGACCATCTCTCCCTTCTGCCAGCAAAAACAATGGTTACTGCTTCCCTAGCCATTTGCACTGTCTTCAAGGAGCATTCCCGTGAGCAGCTGTTGGCACTCAGAATGGGATCCAGACTCAGCCTTCTGACACCCAACCCCTGACCTGCCCTGGGATCCCAGCCAGGACTATGGCTGAACAGGCCCCCCCAGAAATCTCTGCCAGTTGTCCTCCTCACAAAGGCACTGTGGGAACAGGACAGCAAAGTTTCAGATGATGAAAAAAGGCATGTGGACAGTCTAGCTACATCATACAAGGAAGAGCTCTGGCTCCAACTGTAAGGCCAACCCAGGAGTCTTTGCTCCTCCTGATCCACCTACCTCTACCCTTCTCGGCTCTGCTCTGTGGTCTTCAGGCTGCCTGTGTGGACACCATCAAGGGCCTCCAGGCTGAAGGAAGGGAAAAGAGGTCAGGAATGTTTTGCCCCAATTTGCTCCCTGTGGGGTGACTGCCCTTCTCAAGGTGACCCTCTTTATACTATACTTCCCAGGTTCCAGTGACCAGCTCCCCCTTTCTCCAGAGGTCTATAATTACCCTGGAGGGTCCCTATACTGTATTCCCACCTTTATCATCCTTTTACTAGCAAACCTTCCTCAGATGCCCTAATTTGAGAAACTTCTCTTTCCTGCTGGGGCCCAGGCTAACATGACCACCCATCTTGGTTTCCTGGGTTGCAGTAATCACCACCACTCCACACTCTGTCTGGTTCTAGGCTTGGAAGTATGGCAGACTGAGCTGTTCCCCACAGCCCCTCCTACCTCAGGTCAGCCAAGTGTGAGGCCACTTTCTTCTGGCCTTCGGTTGGCTCCAGCCCACCGGCCAGACTGCAAGCGTTCCAAGTCCAAGTGGCTCAGGCCAAAGCCCATTCCCAGGGTACTCCTCCTTTATGACTTCACCCACTGAAGTCACCTGGGAGACAATGCTGAATGTTCCACATGGAGTCTTGGCCTCTGGGAGGCAGGGACAGCAGGCCTGGCCAGCCCAGAGGACTCTCTGTTCACAGTGTAAATGAGGACGTCGCTGGCCCATGTCCCGCAGGGATGTAGAGGGCAGCCTCAGAGGCACTGGGCTCTCCCGGCACCATGGATGATGCTGCTGTCCTTAAGCGACGAGGCTACATCATGGGGATAAATTTGGGAGAGGGCTCGTACGCAAAAGTCAAATCCGCTTACTCTGAGCGCCTGAAGTTCAACGTGGCAGTCAAGATCATAGACCGCAAGAAAGCCCCCACGGACTTCTTGGAGAAATTCCTTCCCCGGGAAATTGAGATTCTGGCCATGCTAAACCATCGCTCCATCGTCAAGACCTATGAGATCTTTGAGACATCAGATGGCAAGGTCTACATCGTCATGGAGCTCGGGGTCCAGGGAGACCTCCTCGAGTTTATCAAAACCCGGGGAGCCCTACATGAAGACGATGCTCGCAAGAAGTTCCACCAGCTCTCCTCGGCCATCAAGTACTGCCACGATCTGGATGTCGTCCACCGAGACCTCAAGTGCGAGAACCTTCTCCTTGACAAGGACTTCAACATCAAGTTGTCCGATTTTGGCTTCTCCAAACGCTGCCTGAGAGATGACAGTGGCAGACTGACATTGAGCAAGACCTTCTGTGGGTCAGCAGCATACGCGGCCCCTGAGGTGCTGCAGGGCATCCCCTACCAGCCCAAGGTGTATGACATCTGGAGCCTGGGCGTGATCCTCTACATCATGGTCTGTGGCTCCATGCCCTATGATGACTCCAACATCAAGAAGATGCTGCGCATCCAGAAGGAGCACCGTGTCAATTTCCCCCGCTCCAAGCACCTGACAGGCGAGTGCAAGGACCTCATCTACCGCATGCTCCAGCCGGACGTCAACCGGCGGCTGCATATCGACGAGATCCTCAGTCACTGCTGGGTGCAGCCCAAGGCACGGAGCCTGTCCTCTGCAGTCATCAACAAGGAGGGGGAGAGTTCCCGGGCCACTGAGCCCACTGAGCCTGGCTCTGACAAGAAGTCTGCCACCAAACTGGAGCCCCGGGAAGAACCACGGCCCGAGGCACAGCCAGAGACAAAATCTGAGCAGGAACCATTGCAAATGCAAGTGCTAAGGCCATCTGAGACCAAGGGTCTTGTTGAAGAGCAGCCACCAAACAAGGAGACAGGTGGCGACTCCCTGGAGCCTCCACAGCCGCATACCTAGCACACCTAGTGAGCCTCTTGTGGCCCAGGGGGCCAGCAGGCAATTAGGTAGAGTTCACCATGAGCTCTGAAGAAGTCAAGGGGCAAGCCAGAGAAAGAAGACAGTCTCGGTAGAGCCGCTATTTTCATCAGTTTCTTCTCCCTCCCTTTGAACTTTGGTAACCCACATGGCTAAAGAAGCAATAAATCACTATATTAGTGCAGCCCCCAAGGTGAATGTCTTTGCCCAGAGTTGATGGCCCTCATTTACCCAGGGTGAGGGTCCTGCACTCCTCCCAGTTTCCCCACATCTGATTGGGGCAATGTGTCCCGCTGTGCCAATCCCTGTCTATGACCTCAGGTCCTGGACCAGAGCAGTAGGCCAAGCGAGGATATAGCTTCCAGAGGCCCATGAGAGCTGTGCTCG